CCAGGACTAAGACTCAGAGACTCTGTGTATTTTTAAGTTTTAAAGGAAATTACAATGTTCAGTTAAGGTTGAGAATCACGCATATAGAGGCAAGAATGAGCAAAGCTTGTTCAATGGAACAATAAGACAACTGTTTTTGTTACAGAGGAAGGTTTTCATAATAGATGAGTTAAAACAAAGTTGTAACTAAATCTTGGATTATTACATTGAATGCCAAGCTAAAGAATGTGGACTTGATTCTGTTTGCTGGGAGGAACCACTGGAAACTTTTCATGCAAGAAAATGGCACTGGTGTAGCAATAATATTCAGAATGGATGACGGTGACAAAGAAGCTATAGATGAAAACATTTAGGCCACTGGAATATTTAGTGAAGAGGTAATAAAGTCTTGGACTTGAGTGATAACAGTGGAAATGAGAAGAAACAAAGTAGACAAAAGAAACATTTTAAAGGGTCACTTTATAGATTAGATCAATAAAAACTAGTAAATAACCAATTGCTAGGACAAAGCATACAGAACACTCTGACTGATAAAGAAAAACATGGAATCAAAGATGACTCTATAGCAGGCTAGAACAGTATTTTACTAATTAGGAAGTTAAGAGGTGGCTAGTGGTACGGAAATCAGATTGTTAGTTTTAACTCTAAAGCAATATATAAGAAAACTCGAGATAGCATTGTACAGCCTAGATAAAACGTTCATAACATGGCAAATATCTTTGTGAGAAAAGTGAGTCTGATGTTGAAGCTTAAGGAGATCTAGGGTTTATGTTGCATAAACAGTCACTGGGCTGGGCAGACAGGGAAAGGCAGAATAGAATAAGCAAGGTGGGACTAATCAATGGACCACTACACCATTCTGAAAAACATAAACTAGATGCAGAGAACATTAGGACATTTTTAGGATTCCTATCTAAATGACAAAGCAGGTCGGGCGTGGTGGTGCAGGCCTGTAATCCCAGCACTTTGGGAGGCCAAGGCGGGCAGATCACATGAGGCCAGGAGTTTGAGACCACACTTGCCAACACGGTGAAATCCCGTCTCTACTAAAAGTACAAAAATTAGCTGGGCGTGGTGGCAGACACTTATAATTCCAGCTACTTGAGAGGCTGAGGCACGAAAATTGCTTTTGCCTGGGAAGTGGAGGCTGCAGTGACCGGAGATCGTGCCACTGCACTCCAGCCTTTTGAGACTCTGTCTCAAAAAAAGTAAAAAATAAAATAAAATAAAATAAATAAATCAATAATGCAAAGCAGTGTGCTATCCATGTTTTCCCATTATATCTGAGGAATAGTGGCATTTTTTAGCCATAGAATCTTGTTGGATTTAGAAACTGATAATCCATTCAACAAATATTAAGTGGCTACTTGCCATTATACACTTGGTAGTGTAATACAAAGATGACTATGACCATGGTTTGTCCTATGGGAGCTCAGTTTTTGGGGGTGGGCCATGAGATTAGTTATAACAGAGGTTTTACAAAGTGCTGTGTACTTAATACTACAGTATTAAGAAGAAGCTACATTCTGTCCAGACTAATGAAAGAAACTTCACAGAGTAGCTGATATGTAAGCCAAATCTTAAAGAAGTTGGCCATGAAAAAAAGAAAAGGTATTCAAGGCCAGAAGAATGGCATGTACACAACACAGAAGCATAAAAGATCATGGTGTGTACACAGAATGGCAAACATTTCCATATTATTATTTTTTTGATATAGGGTCTTGTTCTGTGACGCAGGCTACAGTGCAGTAACACAATCACAGCTCACTACAGCCTGACTTCCTGGGCTCAAGCGCAATCTTTCCACCTCAGCCTCCCAAGCAGCTGGGACTACAGACATACACCATCACACCCAGCTAATATAATTTGGTGTCATTGTTGTTGGAAATGAAGTCTCCCTATGTTGCCCAGGCTGGTCTCGAACAGCTGGCCTCAAGAAATTCTCCTGCCTTGGTCTCCCAAAGTGCTGGGATTACAGGCATAAGCCACCACGCTCAGCCCATATAATTTTAATATAGGACATGTTTAGAGAAAGGGAGAGAAGCACAAGATGAAGAATAAACAAGGGCTATGTAATAAGCCTTGAATCCCACTGTAACAGGCAGAAGATTGAGAACCATCCTCTTGATCATGATTGTAGTCGTGATCTACTTTCTACTGAATATCTATCACATGTGTGACCGGAGTAAGGTATAATTATGAGATCAAGGACTACTCTAGAATGAAAAAGCCTTTTAAGAGAAATAGGCAGGGCACAAAGTGCTATAAACCCAGCACTTTGGGAGGCCTAGGCAGGCACATCACTTGAGGTCAGGAGTTTGAGAGCAGCCAGGCCAACATGGTGAAACTCTGTCTCTACTAAAAATACAAAAATTAGCCAGGCATGGTGGCGTGCACCTGTAGTCCCAGCTACTTGGGAGGCTGACGCAGGAGAATTGCTTGAACTTGGGAAGCAAAGATTGCAGTGAGCTGAGATTGCACCATTGCACTCCAGCCTGGACACTGCAGTGAGACTTCATCTCAAAAAAAAACAGAGAAATATATAGGGAATACAGTACTCTTGAGGTCTCTGAAGTCTAGTTGTCCCTTTTTTGCACCCCAGGTACTAATCAAAATATAGTATCCAATCTGACATGAATGCAGAGTCTACCGGCCACTGCTGGTGCTTACTCCAGGAAAGAAAAACATACCTTGCCATAAGAGGTCTTAAATGCTGCTTTAATTTTTTGCCTCTGATCATTGGAACGGTTGGCCACCACATCCACAATTGCCTGCTCGTCTGTCCCTGGAAGAACCACACATGTTTAAATAAGGACAAAGTATGTGCTAGGAGCTGCTTGAGGTCATCTTTTTTTTTTTTTTTTTTTGAGACACAGTTTGTCACCCAAACTGGAGTGCAATGGTGCGATCTAGGCTGACTGCAATCTCCACCTCCCAGGTTCAAGCAATTCTCCTACCTCAGCTTCCCGTGAAGCTGGTATTACAGGCATGCACCACCACACCCATCTATTTTATTTTTTATATTTAGTACAGATGGAGTTTCGCCACGTTGGCCAGGCTGGTCTTGAACACAGGTGATCCGTCCACCTCAGCCTCCTAAAGTGCTGGGACTATTGGTGTGAGCCACCACACCCAGCCTGAGGTCATCTCTGAGAATGCTTACAAGGAACTAGACATCAGATTAAATTCAAGTACGTGCACCCAGGCTGACACATAAACTTGGTTTATGAGATAAGGTTTATTTTTACTTTCGAATTGATCACTTTAACTTATTAACAAAGACAAAAATTTGTTTTCCTTACCAAAACCCTTCATTGCCTTACGAAGAATTTCTGCATCTCTCATAGCATCAAAGTTGGCAGCTGGTCGGATAGTTCCTTGAGTGCCCTGAGTCATTGCAGCAGGCTGAAAATAAAAGACATAAAATCTGAGTCAGCATTTCCAGAAAATTTCTAATGAGGAAACTTAAAGACCTCCCCAGACATCAATCTTAAGTAAGAAGGCCAGTGTTTGGGTTTTAGGGCAAGAATATGAGCATTTTATTACCAGGGCTCATTCTGGAACAGACAGGAAAGACCTATCCCCCTTCAGGACAGATTTTTCTCCTGCCAACAGATAGCCAGACACCAAACTTCCAGGAGACAAGATGGCCAAACTTGTGAAATTAAAGTCACAATCTTCTTATGGTTTCCTTTTTGGTAGAATAGGAAGAAAAAAGGAGATTGATCCCTGAATAGTGTGAGATGAGCAACAATGTTTGATTTAAAAACAGAAGAATATAAAATGGCTTTAGTGAAGTAGAACATGCGTGCCCAATGAGATTTCAAACCAGCAATATAATTTTAGTAATATCTCTTAATTTCCTATATGGACCCTGATTATTACACATGAAATAAGTCTATATGAAAATAAAAAATTGCCATTTGGTAAATACTATGGTAGTAACTGTTTCAGGCAAGAATCACCAATGGGTGCTAAAATTAGGTGGCAAAAGTATAAAGAAACAGGATATTTGCATAGCTTATAACATTACAGCAGAGAAACCTTGCAGACACCAACTTAAATGATCAAAATTAATTATCACCAGTAATGGAATAAGTCAACAATAAGTATCTCCTGATATGATGCACTGGGGGCACAAAATCATTTCTGTGGTACTCTTGCCAAAAAGGCATGACCTGGATTTAACCATGAGAAAATATCAGACAAACCCAAATTAAGAAATATTTTACAAAATAACTGACAGTGTTCTTCAAAAGCATCAAGGGCATGAACAACAAAGACTGAGGAACTATTTCAGATTAAAGGAGACTTAAGAGACATGACAATAAATACAACACTGCATTCTGGATTTGATCCTGAACCAGAAAAAGGACATCATTGACACAACTGGTGAAAATGAAATAAGGTCCATAGGTTGGGTAACAGTACTATATCAATGTTATTTGCTGATTTTGATCGTTCTATTGTGTTTATGTAGGAAGTTAACATTTGGAGAATGTGAGTACAGGGTATATACGAATTATTTGTACTATTTGCAAGCCTAAAATTATGTCAAAATTAAAAGATAAAACAATTTAAAATACAAAGCTATGAAATAACTCAATAGTTTTTCCCTATTTTTTATTTTTTACAGATAGGGTCTCACTCTGTTGTTCAGGTTGGAGTGCATTGTTCAGGTTGGAGTGCAGTGGCACAAACATAGCTCGCAGTAACCTTGAATTCCTGAGCTCAAGCAATCCTCCTGTCTCAGGCTCCTGAGTAGCTAGCACTACATGCGTGTGCCCAGCTAATTTCTTACTTTTGTAGAGACGGGTGTCTTGCTATGTTGCCCAGGCTGGTATCGAGTTCCTGGCCTCAAGTGATCCCCCTGCCTTGGCCTCCCAAAGTGCTGGAATTACAGGTATGTGCCCAGCCCAGAACAATTCAAGAAGTTTCTTTGGGTATTCAAGTCAGGGCTTAAGAGGAATGGGATGAAGATGATGCTCCACTACTTTTTAAAAAAATTTTAATTGTAACAACACATTTCTTGTATGTCTGAATGTTGACCTAAAATAAAGATTACTATTGTAAAATAAGTGTTTTCACCACAGAAAACACACACACACACACACACAATTAATTCAGTATCTCCAAAATATTATCATTTAAACATGCAATCAATACCATTTCAAAATAAAAGGTGATTCAACTGCTTTTTAGACAACTGAAACGGTTTTTAAAGTTATACACATTGAATACAGCAGTACGCCAGCACTTGTAGGGGCAAACAACTGAGGAGATGAGAACAAGCCCCATCTTTCAGCAGCTTTTCAAGATAACACTTTTATGGGTCAATAGCTCCTCCCACTCACATATATTTTTACTCCAACATTTTCTTCTACTAGTAAGCCTTAACATCCATCCTCTACTAGTTTCCAAGCTAGGGCTGTAAGCAGAGAACTAACAAATATACCTATAGTGGTTTTAATAGAAAGCTAAAATTATTCTACTTGTAGCAAATATTCAAGTATAAAGAATTTTTATGAGCCTTCATGTCTCAAGAAATTAAGTTTCCTTTGATGTAACCACTGTCACTAAAATCCTAAACAGGACAGAAGCCATTGTTTCTAATACACTGGACTAGATAAACTAACGCTCACTGTGTATCGTCTGATGATTCTCATTTTCTGTGATTCTCTTCTGTAAAAAAAAAAAAAAAATATATATATATACACACACACACATATATTGATTTCATATTTCATCTGTGGGGGAAAATTTTTTTGATGTATTCTCTGTTGAAAGTCTAAGTTGGAAGTCAATTTTCAAGAATACTGTCATCTTCCAGGCATTAAACTGAATTCAAAGAAAAGAAATCAGGATCTGGGCTGGGTGCAGTGGCTCATGCCTGTAATCCCAGCACTTAGGGAGGTCGAGGCAGGTGGATCACAAAGTCAAGAGACTAAGACCATTCTGGCCAACATGGTGAAACCCCGTCTCTACTAAAAATACAAAAATTAGCTGGGCGTGGTGGTGCACACCTGTAGTCCCAGCTACTCAGGAGGCTGAGGCAGGAGAATCACTTGAACCCAGGAGGCGGAGGTTGCAGTGACTCAAGATGGCGCCGCTGCACTCCAGCCTGGCAACAGAGCAAGACTCTGTCTCAAAAAAAAAGAGAAATCAGGATCTGTGTTCTTGAGGTTAAAACTCTAGGGGAGAGTTCTCAGCACAATCCATTACCAGAAGTTCCAACATTTGCCATTGTTTTTTAATGCCCATTTGATTCCAACCTTCTTGCTGAAAAACTATCATAGAGCTGGGTACAGTGGCTCACACCTGCAACTCCAGCCATTTTGGGAGGCTGAGGCAGGAGGATCACTTGAGCCCAGGAGTTCAAGACCAGCCTGGGCAACACAGCAAAGCCTTCATCTCTACCAAAAATTAAAAAATTAAGTGGGCATGCTGGTGCACAACTGTAGTCCCAGTTACTCAGAAGGCTGAAGGAGGAGGATCACTTGAGCCCAGCATTTCGAGGCTGCAGTGAGCTTTGATCATGTCACTGTACTCTAGCCTGACCTGAGCAGCAGAGGCCCCGTCTCAAAAATGAACAAACAAATGAAACAACAACAATCAACAACAAGACTATCACAGAATTAGAGAACTGGATCAATCAGGAGGGATAAAGTGGCCCAACTTCCCATCTAAGACAAAAAATTTTTTTGCACCTTCCTTGATACACACAGACACATCCATACTCACATCACCAAAATCTGCCTGTGGACTTTCAGTGACAAGAAGCTCACCCCTCACAGGGTAGCCTATTTCACTTCCATCTTAAAGTTCTTCCAAAATCTAACACTCTACATTCTGTTAACTTCTACCTACTGGTTTTAGTTTCAGCTTAAGGTGGTAATTGTTACATAAAATAAGTTGCATACGAGACTAACGAAGAAAAGAGAGAAGAATCAAATAGATGCAATAAAAAACGATAAAGGGGATATCACCACCGATCCCACAGAGATACAAACTACCATCAGAGAATACTATAAACATCTCTATGCAAATAAACTAGAAAAACTAGAAGAAATGGATAAATTCCTAGACACATACACTCTCCCAAGGCTATACCAGGAAGAAGCTGAATCCCTGAATAGACCAATAGCAGGCTCTGAAATTCAGGCAATAATTAAGAGCCTAGCAACAAAAAAAAGTCCAGGACCAGATGGATTCACAGCCAAATTCTAACAGAGGTACAAAGAGGAGCTGCTATCATTCCTTCTGAAACTATTCCAGTCAATAGAAAAAGAGGGAATCCTCCCTAACTCATTTTATGAGGCCAGCATCATCCTGATACCAAAGCCTGGCAGTGGATGGGGAAGTTGGAAACCATCGTTCTTAGCAAACTATCACAAGTCAAAAAAATCAAACACTGCATTGGTCTCACTCATAGGTGGGAATTGAACAAGTGAGAACACTTGGACACAGAATTTGGGGAATATCAACACCCAGGGACTAGTCGTGGGGGTGGGGAGGGAGGGATAGCATTAGGAGACAAACCTAATGTAAATGATGAGTTAATGGGTGCAGGCACACCAACATGGCACACGTATACATATGA